AGGCCTTGGACAGGGAGACAGGCATTTCATTGATCCCTCAAATGTTTGTGCCTGCAGAAGGCAATTCTGGGTGCTAGTGTCCTGGGCCTGCAGAAGGTGAAGGCTCTGTGGACGTTAGTGCTGAGTGAACTGGCTTTCCCTGGAATGCTGGTTTTCAGTGTAGCCTCTTCCGTCCTCAAATCTCTGCCTGGTACCTCTGAGTCCAGCACTTCTCTTCAGGGAATAAACAGAATAAATGTCCAGTTTTCTGTCCTGTTGAGAGTGGTATTCATCTAGCACTGGGCAGAAGAGGCTATCAGAGTTTCTTACTAGATTTTCAACTAAACCAGTTCTCCACTCACACCTTCAGAAATTCCCAAGGTTTCCAAATCCCAAGTTTCCCCCAGAAGTCTGAGGCATGAATCAGCATCTTTCCCATTGGCCTCCCAGTCCGCAAGACTGGAATTCACTTTCCTGGCTCTGTTGAGTGAATTACCAGCCATATGTCCATCTTCCATATTCCAAAGTTTGTCTGACGTATGGACGCCTGCTGACTCCTTTCCCAGACTCTTTGCCTTGTAGGATTTATGTATGCTTTTTATTCTTTACCACCATTTTGGTGAGGTTTGAGAGAAGGAACAGAAATAAATAAGCACTGCTCATTCAGTCTGCCATGTTTAACCACTTCCTCAAATGTATCAGTTTTTTATTTGTAAGTTTGGTTTTTAATGTTCCATTCCCTGTGATAAAAATACACATCTATAATCTTTTCTCATAATTTCCAACTTTTGTTTTTCATGTATGCTAGTTTATTTTATTTTAGTGTAGGAATTTTGAATCCAAGTTTACTGCTTCCACATAATCCATTGTGGAAGACTGTTAATAGAATAGTATACTTTTTCTTCAGTGACTTTAATAGTTCTACTACTGTTTAAAATGTTCTTGTATGTGTTTGAATCTGTTTCTAGGCTTTATGCTTTATTTTATTAACCTACCTATCTATTCTTGTACCAATGACATTTATCTTAATTAGAAATTATCTATTAAAAGCTCATTACCAATTTTTACATTTTTTACTTTCTTATAGTTGCTATTTTTTTCAAGTTCTAAGAAATAGATCATTTGGGGTTTGCAACTGGAAAGCTAAATTATAAATTACTTTGAGCAGGATTTACATCTTCACAATTTTGATGTTTTCCATCCTGGGAAATGACATATTTCATCATTTATTTGGATCTGTTACATCTTTAAATGAGCTTTTATTACTTTCTTGAGCCCATTTTGTTACATTTATTCTCAGGCAATATGTATTTTTTGTTATTGTGACAGCATATTTTTCATTATGTTTGAGAATTAGAGATCATCTCTTAAAGAAATTTTGGACTTAAACTTCCAATAGTCTTGTAAGCTCTTGAATTTACTACACAAATAATCATATCATACAAGTAAAGATATTTATTTTTCTTTCTATTCCAAGTGGTTCATTTTTTCTGCTTTTTTTCCTTGGTTAGGACCTCCAGCATATTTTTTAATTGTGGAAGAGATAATCTTTTCATTGGTTGGAAAAATGCTTTTAACATTAAGCATGATGTTAGGTATAGATTTCCAGTTAAAGTCTCTCATTGTGTTTATATTCTTTTCCTAGTTTTCCAAGACAAATTTTTTATAATTGATTGTTAATTTTACTACATATATTCTTTATCTGTTAGATGATCTTTTTTTCACATTTTAAAAAATCTTAAATTTCTAGTGTTGTGTATTAGATGAATAAATGTTCAGATTTTCAAACATCCATAGATTGGTCTTTTTTCTTTTTCTTTTTTATACTTTTGAATTCAATTTGCTAATTTTTAAAAATCTAGGTTCATAAGTGCACTTAGTCTAAATTTTTGTGTGTGCGTGTGTATATGTGTACTTTGCTGTCCAATTTTTCTATCAAGATTCTACCCGTTTGCTTTTGTTTTATAAGCGTGGGTGTCTGGAAAGGTTGCATTTGACAAAAAGAATGGAAGAAAAGGTGTTCTGCTGTCTTTTAAGAGTTTCAAATTTTTCCTATTCAGAAAAGTAGATATTTTTATGCTGGAACTATATTTACTTTTCATGAGGTAAATGAAGTGATGGTAATTTTATATGAAAAAAAAAAAATGGCCTGTTGTTACTTTTCCCAAATCAACACAGAAACAAAATATAATTGCTAGCTACTGATCTACATGACAGAAAACACTTAGAACCAAAAAATGCCATGAGTCATCCAGATAGTTCCAAATGTCTCTTTAGATTTATTCTACCTTGATTATGGTAGGTAGATATATCCTATGATAGACAAAGTCTTCTTTATCTGGGGTGGCAAAAGTGGAAAATATATTCCATATGAATTTCCTATATAAATCCTATGTATTTTTTAGTGCTATTTACAGATGATCTCTGGGAAAAAGAGAATCTTGTGAAAGTAAAGTTTCCCATGGCAGAGAATGGAATACATTTTTTTTTCTTTTCATTCCTTTTTATTTCTGCTTATTCAAAAAGAAAAAAGGAGTTTAAAAAAAAAAAAAAGAAGAAAGAAAGAAAGACTGGAAGGTAACACCTGACTGTAATTACAGAACTCTGGGAGGCTGAGGCACAAAGACAGCAAGTTTGAGCCCAGGATGCCCTTGGCAAACAAAAACTGCCCCACTAAATAAAAACTGAGCCAAGGATGTAGCTCAGTGTAAAGTCCCTGGGTTCAATCCCCAGAATATATACATGAAATTTATTCAGTTATTCTTCTAATCTAATTCACTGACAATGTCTATTTTCAAATATATAAAATAGGCTTTATGTATGATTGTCCATTATACCCTGTATATATATGAACTATCCAAAATTTATCTAGGGAAACATGCTTCTCTTTTCCAAAGGCATAACCTAAAAATATTTAGCTCTTTATCTTCCAAAAACCATGCAAAATTCATGTCCCTTCCATGTTTCCTGTTGATAATATTTTCCCCATTTGTAGCACAAATTTTTCTTTCCTCTAGAAAACTGGTATTTGTTTCATTTGTACATTGTAAAATTGTGCCCGGATGCTGTTCAACCAAAGGACATTCCTAAGAAACATAGGAGAAAGTTGTTTTGTATGAAATCAACAGTGGCAGTGGAAAATAGCACATTTAAACAGGCTTCCCTGAGTTAAGGGGTGATACTACCTGCAGATCATGTGCCTGGAACATCTCTGGACAGAGGTTATATCTTTACATCACGACTGAGCTGTTTGCAGAATGTGCTGATGTCTGCCCTACAAAGTCTTCAGGTTCAGCCATTTACCACACTAAGAAATATGATTCCATCTTTACAAACTGTCCACATATGGGATGTCCACTGGCTGTGTTCCAAAAGTTCACTTTCAAATCATTTATCTGGGATTAAAAGACATTTTCCTATAGGAGCAATTTTATAAATGGTGTTGTTCTGCAAGTGCCAGTGGAGCTACATGGATTTGAATCGCAGCCTTGACTATACTATTCTCAGCAAGCAACTATTTATTCTGTTTCTCTGGAAAAGAGCATCTGGTTTCTAATTTAAGATGTTGAAGCCCACTTTCCTCTGTGGAGCAGCATTCACTGTAGCTTTTTTGTGCTGGGCAGCAATGGCAGTTTGGACACGGGGAAGGGACTACCTAGCCTCCTTAAGAACAAGATGTGTACAAAGAGTCAGTTGAGATACTTCTGGGAAACTCCTTAGCACTGGAGGGCAGAAGAATAAAACCACCCCATGGTTCCCAAGTATTTTAAATTAGGAACTAAGGAAAGGGAGTTTTTCCTAAATAGAGAGCATTTCTAAGTCAAACCTTCACTTGGGAGGCTGAGGCAGGAGGATTGTTGTGAGTTTGAGGCCTGCCTGGGCTATTAAGTGAGTTCAAGGCCAGCCTGAACTGCATGGTGAGATCCTGTCTCAAAAAGACAAAAAAGAAAAAAAAAAAAATCTAAGTCAAATTTTCATGAAGAAGGAATAGAAGGAACAGCTTTTTCAGTAAAGCCTTAAATTTTTGAAGACCAAGCGTCCGGAGTTGTAATTAGCCAGGGAAAATATTTAAAATTTCTTGGTGGGTGGTGAAAGAGTGCCCAAACACATAGCAATAATGAGACCTAACTGTGGGGCTGACAAACAGTAGGTACTCCAGAGGGGAGGACATGTTTTATGGAATGAAGTGCTAACTGAGTACAAGGCCACAGCTACATGCATGTGTGGGACAGTTAACTGCATGTTAATTCAGCGTCGCCTAATTCTGACTTTCCCATAGCACACATATTCCAGAAGTCACTAGAACCTCGGTGTCACCTGGACAGGCATATGCATCTGTCTGTACCAGAGCCAAAGCGGGTGCTGGGTCTCTTCATGGCTGTCTGCTGAGCATGAGTTTCTAGCATTATCTCCCCACTGCCACACTTGAGGGTACACAAGGTCAGGGAAGCAGCTTGACATGGAAAACCTAGGAGCCTACACAAGCCTTTGGACCCTGCCTAGCTGAATCCTGACCCGAGGTTTATTCCAGCCAATGCTACCTGCTAAAAAAGAGCAACATGGTCAGTTGTTTTCATTACACACAGACATGTTTTAGGGGGCTGTAGCTCTTGCAGGCTAGAAGTTAGTCTGTAAGGCAGACCTGGGTCTTGTCTGTTTCAGGTTTTCAAATTGCATAACAATTTAAATTCGTTCTGTATATGCAAGTACTTTGAAAAGAACTACACTCCCACCCCATAAACATACCTAAGTGCTGGCTTCTCTTCTCATAGGATGTGCTTTCTTTTTAAAGCTCCATTTGTGTTCTACAAAACAGCCTCTTTCTCCAAGATTAACATTTCTTATGATTGTTCCTGACAATGGATCCACTTCCAGAGGCTCTGCTAAGGATAACCAAAAAAGGGCATGGAGCAGGCTGGTTTTGGCAGCCTGCTCGCAGTTTCAGAGCTTTTTAGGTCTTGGTTTTTCTGATGAGTGATTTCCTGAGCATGCCTAGGGAATGACAGGCATCTGCTCAGGCAGACTGCATTACCTTGGCGGGGTGTCGTCATTGGCTGCCTATTAGAAAAACTGCAAGACAATGCATACCACTGCCTGCGACTGTAAACATAGGGGCTATGTGTTCGCTTAGCGTGGACTTCGGGGAGGGGCCAAAGAAGGGCGGTCTGCAGTTTTATTGAGTAGGGCACTGTGCGCTAGGCTGCCTGCCTGCCTACTGCTCTCTCGCTGTGCTCTTGCTTAAAGGAATCAGTCCTCCTCTCCAACGTCGTCCTCTGGAAGAAGTTGCAGCCTCAGGGAGGTAAGGTACAGGGGCATTTCTTTTTTTCTCCTCAGAGAAGCTGGGGACTTTCTCTGGGTTTCATTCAGCATTCCTACCCAAGAAAGCTGGAGATACAAGACTATTCACGGCAATAAACCATGTAAATTCCCAGAGCTGGTCTGAATGTTGTTGCCCTGCCGATGTTGCCGGAAGACAAACAGGATGAGATTTCAAGTTTTGTTTCTAGAGAAGGGACAAGAGAAGAGGTCATAATGACTCGTGTTCTGGGAGCACCGGCAACTTTGATGAGGGTGGTCTTTTGTTTGGGAGACCGAGGTGGGACTGTACCTGATATCCACAGGCCAGGGTTAGCAGTGTGTTCACCCAGAGGTTTCTTTTGCATCTTTTATTAGCAGACATTTTTAAAGGTTTTGCTTTAAAAATAATAGCAACAATTTTTTGATCACAAGGAACCAAAAGAGTGATGGTCGTTTCACCAAAGGTATTTCTGTGTTACTCTGCAATAAGTATTCATGAACTAGCCTTTCAGATCTGCAAGAAAATAAGGTCTGAGGGTTCCAGCACCACTGCCAGTTGAGTTCATGTCATTGATTTGATAGTTGTTAAGACAGAAGATGTTTACTGTGTTCTATTTCCTATATAAAGCCTAATAACAAAAGAATATGTATACTAGTGTGTGTGCTTTTACAGCTCCTACCAAATGATTTCTTAAGGAGTCTTATTTTCTATTTGAAAGTGTGCCTGAGTATGCCTAGCAAACTTGAAAAGATCTATATCTGAAATGTGTTCCAGAAATGAAGCAGACAGGCTTTAATTTCAAGATAGACGTATTTGGGCATCTTAAACAGAGGTACAAGAAGGGAGCTGGTAGTAGTCTGCAACTCCTTTTAGAAAGACCTGATTGTAAAGGGCGGGGGAGTCTCAGAGCCGTGGCAATACATGGTCAAAAAAGTGGCTGAGAACAAAGTGGTTGGTATTCACAGATCCCTCCTGTTAACAAGCCTATGCAGATGGGCTTGTAAACTGAAATAGCAAAATCCTTCTAGCTTATTTGGAGAAACCAGACATGTACGGCTAGAACTTCAGTGAAGGCTAGATGGCATGTGGAAAAAGGGGTGAATCTGGTAATTTTCAATAATGTGAACGTTGAAGACACCAGCTCCCAGTGACCGATTCAATTTGATTTTATTCTATGGAATATCATGGTTGGGGGTTGAGAGTCATTTAATGAGTCATTTAAAGAGTCATTTTCTCTTTATATTTAGGAGTTGAGGGGTAATTTCTTGAGAACGCCTCCTTCTCTTTCTAGAAGTGATATATGAGAATAGGCTTCTCTGTGAATTTCTTTCCCTGGAACAGTTCTGAGTAAGTGTGAGAAAAATGCTGCAGGCGAAAGCTATAGCTTGATTATCGTCTTTCCCTCGAAGAGATCAAATTCCAAACTATTTTCACAGTGTTTTTAATGTCAATCAAAATATGGAGAGCAATTTCTTTTTCAACTGTTCTCTTAACCATGTAGGGAATGCAGTTTGGAAGGAAATCTATAATCTTGGGATTTGAAGATAAATTCCATGTTGAAACCAATGTTGCAGAATCCCTGAAAGTTCAGGGATTTCTATGACTCTCTTGTCCTCCCCCTGTGCTTCCCACCCCCCAGCATAGCACATTTTCTGTAATAACATCTTTCATGTCCTCCTGTGGCTGAAGCAAGGTGATGCGAGTTTGTGTTGACCTTCAAGCAGTTCTCTTTCTTACTTTCTTCCTGTTCACTATGAGCTAGAACATATCTCCCCAATAGGGAGGTAAACATAATTGAATGAAACTACAGAATGAGAACCTTCATTCTGTTGAAATCATTTAATAAAGAGAAGTGTAATGGCACAATTCTGGAACAAAAAAGAGTCCCACAGATAGTTGATTTTCAAACGTGCAGCAGCTGGGTGTGATAACAAGTGCCTGAAATCCCAGCTCTTGGGAAGCTGAGACAGGGGGATCCCTGTGAGTTCAAGGCAAGCCTGGCTTACAAAGTGAGTTCAAGGCCAACCTGAACTGCATAGTGAAACCCTGTTTTTTAAAAAAAAAAGACCTACAGGAAAATACAATGGATTGGTCCACAGGGAAGCATAGGGTTGATTCCACTATTTAAAACTAGTTGAATGTGTGACTGAAAAAATTCAGTGAAGGTCCTTCTCTTAAATAAAGTTACAATTCTTGCATTACAAGAGAGAAGGAGTACCAACTTCAAAATGTAAAAGATTTAAACAATACATGAAACTATTCCCAGACAGTGTGCTATTAACAATTCTGAGTGGCTCCCCCGGGAGCACCTGAGCACCTCCTACTATCTGCAGATGGACTAGGTTGGCCTTGTGACACACCATAGAAAGCTTCAGAATGTGGGCTGGCATGGCATGGAAAGTTCCAGAATGTGGGCTGGGTCATCTCTATTCTGATGAGCGAAATGCACTTCAGTAGGCCTTTCCTTAAAAACACACATAATTGTCTCCATTTGTTATTTTCGTGGAAGTCTGATTACTAGTTAGTCATTCTGTAGCAAGACGGAAAAGTGACTTAGAGATGGGTATGAGAAGGCCTTAGGCAGCTCCCATCTGCATGTTGCCTGTCACATGGCTCAGAAATGTGAGGCCATGGTGGGGGGACGGGGGAAATGCTGACAAAGTGGAATGCAAATAGCACGGTAGGACTAAAGAGGAGGTTAGAAAGATGCTGCCAAAGAATTCTCAGACTTTAGAAAGGGGTTTTCTGGGTAAAAATCTGTAAAAGTCTGAAAATAGAACCATTAGCTTCTTAACTGAAAGTCATCTGTCAATAGGTTGTGAGTAGTTGAGTAATTTAAGCAGATATTTTCGGCTCAGGCTTAACTCGTGGGCACCAAGATGAGCCCTCAGTTCTAGTTTTGGCTGCTCTGCCTAAAGACCCTGACCTTTGAGGAAGTCATCAACTCTTTGGCCTCATCTGTGGAATGGGCATGAGAATGCTTCTCCTAGACCTTGTACTGGTTAAAATGAGACGAGGCATTTCACCTCCCCTTCCCTGTGTGTACCCTAAGCTGCTTTGAATTTGAGCCTCCCAAGCATGCTGCCCACTGTGGCTGGTATCCTCCACTTTTTACATGGTATCTGTAGTTATCCCTTCCTTCTCCATATCAGAGAACTCTGGAGTGGTGCTTTCTGGAACCCTGATCCCAGAGTCTAGTGACTACTGGTCTATCTCAGTGTTGACTGAGGGTGGGCTTCAACGAGTAGAAAGCAGGAAGATCCAAGTCCAGGGAGTGTATTAAGATGGCCCATGAGTGGCTCTCAGCCATAGATAGGTAGCAGGAACTCTGAGGATGCAGATGAACAGAAGACCAATGAAAAAGTGCTGACAACAGAAAGGACTTAGTAAATGAAGCAGCTTCTCTGCCTCCAGCCAGAAGCATGGAATTAATCCCAGCATGTCAAGCCCAGGCCTTGTGGGCAGGATGAGGTAATCAGGAGCACCTGGCTGTGGTTCCTGTTCGTATTGAGACCAGACCACTCCGGGGAGCTTGCTTCTCATCAGCTGGTCTCAGACTTGAGTACTCCCAACTGTGACTGAGCCCTGGTAGCATCCCTGATTCCTTCACCGTGGTCCTCCACCCCACCAACTCTCCCATCCCTACCCAAACATGGAACTTTACTCATCCAAGTTGAAAACTGACAGAAGCCCTGCCCTCCCAGATGACGGCACAAATATGTTTGAGTAGGGGGAAGCCACTCCTCATTTCTAGGTAGAAGGCAAAAAGTTAAAAACAGGCAGAATTGATGTAAGAGCATTTTCTGAAGCAAGGAGCCACTCTGATTCTGTCCCCAAAACGTCTGATTGTTTGGCTGTGGGGAAAGTTTGTAGAGATCAGAAAGAGGAGGGTGTCACAGACTACAGGAAGAGGTGACGGGATCCTCCTCCTATTGCTGGTCTGTTGTTCTTCCCTATGTTGTTATGAAAACCTCTGTGAATCTGATAAATCTCTGAACCTTTAGGTTCTGTGTAAACCTGCCCTTCTTAATTGGCCAGTGAGATACCTTGAGTGGGGAAGGGAGGGAAGGGAGTGAAGCCTGGACTCCCACAGTAGACAAAGCTGGAACAGATCGGCATGGGCTTGGAGGTGTTCCTATCTAGGGGTGGAAGAAAGGACAGAAGAAAAGGGAGAGAAGAAAAGGAGGGAGGGAGGAAGGAAAGAAGGAAGGAAAATAGGAAGGAAAGGAAGGAAGAAAGGGAATGGAAAGGGAGGGGGGGAGAAAGAGAAGGGAGGAAGGAAGGGGGAGGGAAATGTACAGATGTGTAGGAGGAGGTTGCTTCAGAAACCCTGCATTCCAAAGAAAAGGAGACCATCTCCAGAGAGGAAGCAGTTTTTATGGAGAATTTGTGAGGGTTAGGGAAATTCAGGAATGCTACAATTAAGTGTGTCAGGAGAGCACCAAGAGCTTCATAAAGGGTTGTTAAGGAACAGTGAGAGAACAGGTTAAAGGAAAATGATTTTTAAAATTATTGTAATTGGTTGTATGTTCTTTGTAAGCCATCATTTTGATGCATGCATTTTTAAAAGTATATATATACTATATATATTATACATGTATATATATATATATATAGTATATATATATATAACAATGATGGACAATTTGAAGATAAATTGCATTTTAATCATTTCCAGAGGGTTCTGGCATTGTTTGGTGATTATGAGGATGAAAGCACTTGACTCCAGGGAAATTATCTTACTTGGGAAGGAATACATTAAGTAGGAATATGTAATTGATTCCTTTACACCCACATATGATATTACTCTCCTGCTTCTCTCAAGATACTTTCTGGGGAGCTAGGCAAAGCTCACCTGTATGCTGCAGACCAGCAGGTGTGGGACAAATGCCCACAGGGACCAAGGGCCAGTGAGCATCAAAGATGTTCATTCCTCTGGGAGACCGTTCTCAGTTGGAATAGATGTAAAGTACCAAAACAGGCTGAGCCCTTGTCTTCAT